TCCCCATGACTTGATAAAATATCATTTCATAAATTTGACCATGTCACACAATCTACTAGTTTGGAATAATGTTGTCACTACGTCATCACTCGGATTCAAACATGTATATTGTATGTTGTTGATCGGAAATTATCATTATTCATTGTCACTATTCACTATGTGTGCTTATCATTTTTTACTTGATTGTTAATTGCAATTTCTTGATGACGTCTAAGTTATTTATCATTCTTGATGTTCAATTTATCACATCCCTATAGATGATTATACCACCTAATTTACTGTTACAATATTAACTCTATTCTTTTCAATAAATGGAAAATCATATTGAATTTATCAACAGCATGATTATGTATAAAAATAGTAAAGCAAACATGTCGAACTTGGTGAAAATCATGTCAACATAGATGTGTGATTTGGATAATGTATATGCATTGGATATGATATTCATCATATTTTACAAGAAATTTATTAAATTTCCATCATTTTCATGTTAAATTTTTTTCTGCCGCCACCACTAAGAGGGAAGCGCACTCAATACCCCTACATTGTAAGCAAAGGCAAAATTAATGGTTTGATAAATAATTATTTATTTTATCTTTTGCTTAGAGCATCATTTACATCAATATCCACCATTCACCTCAAAACAAAACCTAAATATTTCTTCTTTACCCACCCATTCAGTAATCTTTACCTCTCTATCTTCTTAATTTCCTACACTCATTATCTTTGAGTGTTCCCAAATCAACGGTCAACGAGAACATTAAAAGTTTACAAGACAGTCGGTAAAAACGAAAAAAATTTGGCCGACCAAAAACATAAAAAATAATAATACAAAATCTAAACCCACTTAGGTCAATCAAATTGGGTGTTATCATTTTTATGTGGTCAGAGGATTTACATCGGCTTGATTTTATTTCTGCTCACTTGGTAAAAATATCGGATGTATCAATCGGGATTAATATGAATTCATACTTAAAAATTCCTCGTTGACAAGAAAAAAATTAGGAATATGAAACATGCTTCATTGGTGGAACCTATTCGAACCCACTTATCAGCGTAAGCACTTTAAACTTTAGTTGATGGAATGGACCACACTACCCCAAAAATATCAAACTTTGCATAAGCTTACGTTATCAAGAGGGAAAAGATGTGTCTATGTGAGATAGTGATGGATAGATAGAGTTTGGTGAAGCTATAGCCTAATGGGCAAGTAGCACAAACCAAGTCGTAACGAGTGTTTGGTTTTCTTGTTATAGATTGGGCAAAATAAATGCCTTAACATTCCATATACATTTCTCTATATATATGCAAAAACAAGATATGACGTCGAATTTATTTTAGGCAGACCCGAATGCAACTTCTTTGGAGGATCATGCACAAGAAATGAAGTTTGGTGAATAACAAAAAAAAAAAAGAGAGAATTTAAATACATAACCAAATTCAACCGTACTAGGGATTGA